GAGAGCTCGCAATGGAAATTGTTGGTTCCTTCCAGCTCAGGGACCAAACAAGATAGGAAACTAAAATTTTTCAAGAATGCTTCTGTAGAAATTCGAATGTAGTTTCGAGTATGCCTAGCACACGCACAGATATGTGAGATTTTGGCGGGAAACCTTTCGACTCGGAAACTTGGCAACACAGAAGGTTGAAATTCCTAGGAATGTTTCCAGTGCAATTTCAAAATTAAAGTTCAGTTTTCACATGCGCCTGTCCTGAGCAATGAAATTTTTTTTTTTTTTGGTAGAAAATTTCAGGAACCAAGCAACGTTTTACCATTTTTCGCTCACATTATTAAAAATAAACGGTTCCTGAACAGAATTGCATAAAATTTAAGTTCGCACCAATTTTTGTACGCCATCACTTATTTTAATTCATTGAAAGGTTTATAATAAAATGAACAAACTTTCAGGCCGCCAGTACCGGGTTCAACAATCGAACCATACTGTTCAACGAAACATTTTTTGAGTTCCATAAACTGACCCAGTGTCTTGTTATCCCACCAGTCGTCCAGTTCGCCAACAGCATTGTACCGTCTACCTGTAGAAACGGAAATAAAGCTCTATTATTCAGTCTAAAAAGTAGTGTTTCGACGACAGTAAGCTTAGCAAACATGAACCTTGTTCACCATAGTGACATAAAGAGTTCCACTCTGATAATCTCGCAGTTTTAGTGGCAGTTTGAAATATTAACTTCTGCCTTCAAGAAACTGCTTATTCTTATTAGCAAAAAATAACAAAAAAAAGTCATCCCATGGAAGGTCGTAACTGAGTTCATTGCACATTCCTTCTTCCTGCCTACTTCGCTCCTTCGTTCGTTAAAAAAAAAGAATTACCAGTGTCATCAAAGCCATGGGTAATTTCATGTCCGATAACGGCACCTATAGCACCATAATTCATCGATCTGCAACAAAGCAGTTATATTTTGAACAGTTTCACTTCACAGCAGCTGTTATTGCTGAATGTGAAAAATTTTTTGCAGAATGCCTGTAAAAGTGTCAAGTGGATGACGCTAAGAAGCAGCAGCTACATGCAATCAAAGCCAAATATGCACCAATGGCATAATGGTTTCGCAAAATATCGCTTGAGATCCTACATACTGAATGCCGAAAAAACGGGGCCACTTTGTTGGGACTAGACGAAATGAATATGAAGAGGAAGAGAATTATTTTGTCAGAGCAATTCCACTTCCCATTTAGAGACATCAACCACTGACAGTCACGGTGATATGGAATATTCCTATCGGCTTTGTCGGAAATCATCTAGACGTATTATCTCACTGTTTCCACTTCTTTTTTTGCGCTGTTTCCGATCAGTACAACAGACTAGTTTTATAAAATATACTGCATTTACTTAGTATTCGTTAAGTTTTGTCCCCTTACTAAATTGCTCTTTGTGCACCCTTTATTTTTAATAAAGTTGATATAGCTCAAATATGAAGTGCCGTTTGGTAGACATTTCGAAACAACTGAATCATTAACGGTTTTGCTGAATAGTCCAAAGTTCCAGTTACTTCGATGGTCCTGGTCAATCATTTCTGACGCTGTCAACCAATCGAAATTGCCTGTGGTTGGAACGGAAGTCCGGCGGAAGAGAAACGAAGACGTTGCTTCAAGTCCAAGAGTCCAAGCACCAAAAATTTTTAGATGCCACTGCGTTTTTGTTAGTGATTTACATTCTTTATCACAAGTCAAAATTTGTGGTAGATTTTTCGAGCATTTCTGGGTGAGGGGTACAGTAACTGAAAAATAGGCACTCACAGTGGCAGTGAAAGATTGAAGAAGGCGCCCTGAAGAATGCCAACGAATAACGCTGCAAATGAGTTGATAAATTCACTTTGACCAAATCATCATAAATTTAATTCACTTTATCCATCTGCCTTCAGAAGCTGAATCATCTTGTTTAATAAGCCGGCAAAGCTTGTGCCATCATTATCAGGACAAACTAAAAATACGCGGCAGCAGGTTTTGAATGTTTTTTGGAACTTTGGAATCTTGAGTTTTTTTAGACACTGTTCACTGAAGTTTCCTACTGCTTAAGCAGAAGAAGCGCGTGAAAATGCGAAAGGGAAACATGTCCACATGATGGAAAGCTGAATGCCAGATTTTCCATTGTTAAAGCACTAATAATATGAAACCAGCTTGTCCTCCTGCCTTTCGCTCTCGTTTTCTTTCCTTTCTTTCTTCGCCTCTGTTTTTTAGCTATTCCGACAGTGGTGACATAACAGTTTTAAATACTCTTTGATGTGAATAGCAACAAAATTCATACCAATCTGATTACCGGTCGGGAGATATATCGCATTGACGGATGGCGGAGGAAAGCTGAATTGATTTCTTTCGTTTTCTATTAGCAAATTCTCGAACATCGAATCCGATTCAAATTGTTGAAATGTTTCAACAATTTCGAAATAACTCATCATTTCATCGAAATGCAGCTGCAAAAATCTTCAAAATTTGTTCTTTTTTAGCTCCATAAAATGTTGCTCACACAACATTTTCGAAAAAATTTGTTAACTGAGTAGCCAATTCACCGACAGGCCATTTAGCCAGGTATTAATTTTTGGTTTTTCTATAACTCCTCATACAGGTGCCTCAAAGAGTATCAGTATGGCATTTTCACGCCAACTGCCTCATACCCTTGCTTCCCGGCAGTTTAAAGTTCTTGCTTCCTTTAAGCTGGTACTAAATTCCTCAATTTCTGACCACTGTCTTCTTCATTAATTTTTGCTTTGCTCTTAAACTGCCATGAAGCTAAGCTCTCCTAGAGCCATTCTAGTAAATGGTAAAATTCGCTTGCCCAATGTTTTATCGCCGACATTATAAAGCGCTAAAAAACAAAA